CAGTTTTTTGGAAGTGAAAAAAAAAATCAGTACATCTCTGTTTAGCCATTGGTGCGTAAAGTGTTAGTTTTCATATTTAAATAGCCTTGCACCATTTTTCCCCCTCTTCTTTGATTTTTGCTGAAATTCTGGCCTTTTTCGCAATGTATAGTAAGTGGTACTTGAATGATGCAACAGCAAATGAACTGGTCGGGAAGAATTAGATCACCCAACTTGAATCTAGGAGATTTGCAATTGTCTGGCTTGGCTAGAACCACTGCTTCAGGCTTATAATCAGTGGCACCTTTCCCTCTTGGGAAGCCCCTTATAAAGGTTTAGATTTAGGCCCTTACAAAGAAGCATAATTGGTAGAATAAGAAGGCATTACATGACTGGGACCCCATGCAGTTGAATGGTTTACACTGCCGTAATATTGCCCCTGCCTATAATAGTAACCTTATCATGCCCATCTGTATAAAAGTTGCATCAGTGAATATATATGTGTTTTGCATGTGTTAGTGTGTATTCCCCACCCTGATTCCCCCTCACTTGCAATATTTCAGAAATATTTTGAAGCCTGCAGAAAAACACACTATGATTTTTAGCAAGAGGGCATTTACAGGGCTGGTGCTTAGAGGGAGCACAGACCATGTTTCACAGGGCATATGTACAGAGTCCACCTTTTGGGGCAGTTTCTGATACTCAGAATTGCCACTTGGCACCAGAATTGGCCAATGCTGGCTATAAAGGGCAGCACATGAGAAAAGAAGTGAGTGCTTTTTATTGTACTGTGAAATAAATCTAGCATGGAAACCCTTGCCCAGCCTGTTCACTTGTGCAGAAGAGCTGTGGCACTTTGGCTTTCTGTGGTATCTCAGTAGTCAGGACTGTTTTGTGGTACTACATTGTGCTCTATGAAATAACTTTCCCTTTACAAACTGTATATCTTTATACATTTTCTATTTTCTCTAGTAATATTTTCCTTTCTGGAGAATTGAGCTGTTGAAATATATGTGCCTTTCAATGTTTATCTATTAAAATCTTAGAGCAAATACAATACGCTTCACTTAATTTTCTAAATTAGAAGGCAAAACAGTGCTTACTTCATTGGTTTATCATCACTACATGTTACTTAGCATGTGCAGGGCTTCACATAATAGAAATCAAAATAGGAGGTGATTCTATTTCAAGAATTTGTAATAATTCCATCTCTTTAACACATGAATGTGTTCAGTATTGGCAAAAGAACACGTTGCTACCAAAACTGAAATAAGATCCTTGAAACAGAAAGGATGTTGCCATGGAAAAATGAAGTAACACACAGTGCAGCTGCGATGCATTAATGAATAGGATATTTTTTTTAAAGATCATTTGTGTTTGGTGTGGCTTGGAGGGTCCCAACCAGATGGTTTCCATGAACAGGATCTGACCCCCAGCTTGAGGACTTCTTACTGGCAGATTACTTCATTTTCTTTCCCTTGGATTGTCAGATCCTTACATTAATGCAAAATTTACTGCTACAGATTTATATTCTTTTACATAAATCAGTCACATTTTACATTAAATTCACGATTTTGGACGCACAGTTTAACAGTTATTTAAAAAGTGTAAAAAGATTTATGTGATAGCTTTAATATATGCTATTGATGTAGCTTTAATTTTAAGGTATTTGGATTACATATATTTGAAAGCACTTATCTGATCAATAAAGTGATCTATAACATATATTCTTATTTTTAATCCAACATATCATTCATCAGTCTTAGGAGTCCTCTTCCCTTCCTTTACTAGAATTTATCAAGAGCCAGATATTTAGAGGTCAGATTCAGCTCTCAGATACATATGTACAAGCCCCAATGGAATTGGACAAGGCCAAATATAAATATAGCCGCATGAAAAGTACAGCAGGTGTGTTTTAGAAACCCATTTTTGAATGTACTAACTGGCATTTGCACATCTAAAATGATAATTTGCTGTGCCAACAAATGGTAATTGCCTGATTTGCACTGAAAAATGTGTGCTTTGTAAATGCATTTGCTGTGATTTCCTTTGAAAAGTTGAAGGTGTCTATACTTTACATTTGTTAAGCTTTTATTTATTTACACTTTACACTTTAAATTTTATTTAATTTCTGTAGAAATATATTATTACATATTTTGGCCCAGTTACTCCATGAATGTGCAATCAAAGATAATTAACTTGTGTACATTAAATCAAGCTGCTACAGAAGAAGCAGTAGTTCCTTTTAAATAATTTAAGACATTATATTATTGCCATCTCGCCTTAGTATTCATGATAGTCTAAAAGCTATTTAGATAAAGAAGAGCAATCTAAACAATTTGTATTCAGTGGTTTACCAAATCAGGTATATATAGCTAAAAAGCTTACTGAGTTTTCAGATTCTACACACTGCTACAGAGTACTTCATAAAATTTCCACTTAAACCCTGCTGTTGGTAATGTGATAAAGCATTGTATCTCATAGTTTGTGGAATTTGTGGGTTATTATTACCACATGGCTTGTATATTCTGGCAACATTTGATATTAATCATCATGAAGATACATATATAATGGATGATTTGTTATAAACTGTTTACTCAGTTACTGCATTGATAAAACAAAACTAGGCTGATCATAACTGCTTTTGTCATATATTTATCACTGCCCCATAATGGTTTGACCTGGAAACCTATTGCTAATAGACCAGAAAATGCTCTTATGTGTCACTGTAGAAGTCTTTGCATATTGACACAATGACTAATTTAACTGTTTTCAAAAATCCAAATGTGTTACATCTGTAACAATACACTGTTGCTTCTCTTCCAGTATAAATAAAGTACATTCTGCAACCTTGGATCAATAAACTACTTATCAAAGAAGTAATTAACTACATCTTATAGCTCAAACAGCTCTAAAACTAGAAACAAACACAGACTTCATGTAACAATGTATTTATTTTTGCAAAATCCTACTTATATTTTTCTACAATGAATTCTTGTCAGTTTGTCTAAGCAAAAGGGCACAAAAATGTTGAAGTAAAGATGAATATCTCTGCTCTGTTCACCAGGCTGGCAAATTATTTATGGTACCAAGGAATTCCAATCCTATTACACATCATTATTGCTCTCTTGGGGGAATATTAGCCTTGAGGGGAGAGTGTTGTTGTACATTAAGTCTTAGTTATCAGTTGTAAGATATAGTTTCTTTAATTCTAAGAATTTATCAGTCACCAATACAAGAGTTATGGGGCAGCTAACAAAAGTATTTTTATCACAACTTCACATAATATCTCACATCCAGAATATTGGGGAAAAATGGATTGAATCTTAGTTTGTATTTGCTTAACAAAGCATTCAAGTGTGCAAGCTGTTAAGGCTATTTGATATCCAGGTGCAGAGTATTACTTGCAAGAGCCAAGTAAGACTTACAGTCTTTAGCCTACATTGCCTCTGAATTAAGAAGTCATGATGAGTTCAGTCTTTGGTTTGGGCTTACTCAGCCTTGCCAGAAATCTCTAAGGATATTGCAGAATTACCAAGTGTTTCATGGTAGACTAAGTAACTGCATTGTGTGGAAACAGAGAACAAAAAATTGAAGTTTCATATGAAATCACATGTACATGTTCTGATCTGAAAGGTGACAAAAGGAGTAAAACCTCTTGGTTCCAAACTTTATGAACCTTGTTCGTTGCTATGTATATATCTTGGTACTAATGAACATGTCAATATTTGGATGAGACATTTAGTTATGTCAGTTGCTGTGATGATTTAGCCTGATTTTTTTTTTATACACTTCAGTCACTGTTAACTACAAAGTAAGGGAAGAATTCTCACTGAAATAAATCTTTTTGGAAAGTAATAGTATATAAAATACTAGTTAGTTCTTGAGCCTTAGCTAGTGCTAACAAAAGCTAATGAACTGCAAAAGGAGGAGGATTTTCTCACCTTTTGCCAGCAGATTTCTTAACTCAGTTGTTTCTTGGGAAAAGCTGTGGAAAGGTAGATACATGCTTAGCTGATGTGACTACACCTTTTAAATCACATTTATGGACTAAAATGACACCTTTTAAGGGTCCCCTCCCACCACCCATAGTTTACAGAATTATAAAGCACTTGGTTTTTTCTGTTGTCCTTTTTTATAAAGCTGGTCAAGCCTAGAAATATTTATAATCAGTTCCGATTATCTGATTCTGAATTCTGATATCTAATCCTGAATTCTTTGATTCTGTGATACCATATTAGGAGAATCTGTATTATACATGTATAAATACAATGTGAGGCATTGTTGATCCATTTCTGAGAATCCTTTCCAGATCTCTCTCTCTCTCTCTCTTTCAGCTTGAAGTACAGTCCTGTTGTGTGTTCATTCCAAATGACAGCTTGCATTCTCCAAGTACAATTGTATCTGGTGACATTCCAGGAACTGTCCGAAGTTGGTACCATGGGCAGGCTAGTATGCCTGGTACACTTGTTGTTTGTTTGCCTCGGATAAAGATTATGAGTGCTGGACACAAATACATGGAGCCACTGCAAGAGATACCTTTTGTTGTACTAAGACCTATTCTGGAAGAAGGTATAGTATTAGAAATGTGTAGGTCCCTCCTTTTGATCATTTATAATTACATTTTATTTTGTCAACATTTTATAGTACTATAATTATTATCTAGTTGTTTGCATTATTGTAGCTGCTAGAACCCCTAACTGCAGACACAGAACAAAAAACCGTTCTTACCCCAGAGAGGTTACAATTGAAGCATAAGTCAGGGGGCCACAGATGATGGGGATACAAGCAAAATGATATTGGCTAGCATGATGGGCGGCTTTCATAGCCCATCATCAGTCAAAGCCATTTTGAAGACATCATGGCCATGGAGGAAAGGTATAATGAGATCCCTGAAAGCATCCTTGAAGCTAACTGCTGCCATGCAAGAGGGTCAGCATGGAGAAGGAGTTAACATGCTTGTTTGAAAACCAGTAAGTGGGTGGTAGAGTGGTATGATGGATTGACAGAAGGCAAAATTCAATCTTTCAGCACTGAATAAGAGAATATAGGAAGAGTGGTAGTAAAAGGGTAGGCTGCCATGAGCCCTGAGAGTGAAATTAAGACAAGTAGCCTATGTTTGATAGAGAAGGGGAGCCAAAGGAGAAAGGCAAGATGGAGATGACCTGGTTCAAGTGATAAGCCAGCAAAATGATCTTTGCAGCAGTGTAGTGGATTGAAACTGATAGGGCAAGATTTCTAATTCAGTCTTCAGCCTAAAAAATTGTAAATCTCAAATAAGTGAGCTAAGTGCCACAGACAAACCTGCTTTCTTCAAGTATGATCCATAAGCTGCACAGCTGTACAAAAATGTTAAGGTTTCTGTACATGGCAGTCTGCATTTAATTAATTACTCGAATCATGAAATTATTTGGAATAAATATTTTATGTATTTGAATTGGGATGAGCAGAAAAAACACAGTTGTTAAAAGGTTTTTATAGCAATATTTAAAGACATTTTTCTCTAGTTTCAAAACACAAAGTATGATCTAAATATTAAAAAACCATAAAGCATATAGCATGAAAAACTGAGCTAAAATAATTTGTAATTGTTATTCTTGCTCCTAAGGTTCTACTAATGTACATGGTTAGAACTATGTTTTATATGCTGTTTCTCTCCTCTGCTCTGTAATCACCATTGCACCTTCTCCCATTCCTCCACTCCCACCTGCAACAGTGAAAACAAACTGCAGTGAATTTTTGATACAAAAAATATTCTTTCTAATAGTATATCAAGCACTATCAAATCAGAAAATAAATGCAAATGTGAAAATAAATCCTTCCTCTGATTTAGTTGACTTACAGTGATCTTACTTGTTACATAGAATGATAGAAAGTAAATATGTATAACCAAAAATGAAACTGTTTTTAAATTGTGTGTGCATTGTTCTCTGAACTTAAAAAAAAAAGTACGAAGACACTTGAGTTTTTCAAACTCAGAATTGGAGGAACAATTCTAGTGAGAGGGATAATACCCTTGGCTGGGATAAATCCTGTTGTAAGGAATGTATTTGTGTGTGGCTTTTCGCTCTGGGAATAATGCCAAACAGAAGTTCTCACAACCTTAATATTTTTGATTCTCTAATGGAGTTGTAGCCTTCTCCCATGCCAAACCTCCCCCTGAAACAGACTAGTATGAACGTTTTTTCAAAGCTTTTAAGTCACCTTCTTTGTTTCCTCCTATGTAGAGGTAAGTAATTTTTATAGACTTTTATAGGGAGGGACTCTAATTTGCCTCCTACATTTAAACAAGACTCCAGGGATATAACATCATTCTTAAAACACATTACCTTCTCTGTGAAATTATATGCATCCAGCCTTATTCTTCCTGAAAATTATTTTTGGACTGTTCATACTTTTGCAAGGAAAATACAAGCAAATGGTCAGTTGTGATTAGTTACTTTAAGACTGCTATCAGGGCACTTCCACTTTCTTGTTATTTAACAGAAAGTAGCACAGTCATGCTGTCATCTAGGGATATTGCTACATTGTCAGGAAGGCTTTTTGACCTCAATGTCAACAGACAATAGAAATAACTCATTCAGTAACCTACCTAACTCTTTCGATTTGTCTCCTAAGTTCCAACCATACTGTTTCTCTGAAGAAATATAATTTTTAAGAATACTCTTTGTAATTACATTCAAAAGAACATATTAAGTATGGTAGTTTTATTCAGAATTCCTGGAAACAACATAGTCAGACCAAATAGCCTTCAAAATGGAACTGAGTTTATCATGGATATAACAAAAGGATACATTACTCAGAAATCTTCTGGGTAATAAATATAAGATGGACCATCACATATATTTCTAAGTAACATTAAATAAGTTGTTATGATTTAGGAAGAGAGTGAGTAAGAACTAGAGAGAAGCAGCAATCCTAGATTGACTTAATTAAATGTATTAAGTCTTAAGGAGTTAATAATGAGAATAATAGCAAATGCTGTTAAGGAACTGGCCAGAGTAACTTCTAAAGAAATGTTAAAAAAAATCTCTGTGTGTACCTGTTTTTAATACCTCACCTATGATAATCATCTACATATATTGAAAATGGAGCTGCAGCAATACATTGGTCCGTTTCGTATCAGCATGTAAATGAACATTATTGGCAATTGGCTTTTTTTTGGCTGGTGTGACCAGTAATGTTGCTGATAAATGCTGTGTGATCGAGGCCTCCATGGTGAGGGAGGAGCTGGGGCAGAGGCAGGCACTGTGATGCTGGGGCGGGGCAGGGAACAAGACATAGCTGTGACTCATATGGGGGAGATGGCGGAAGGAGCAGCTCCCACTTCTGCGCACACCCTGGTGGGGAGCATGGAAGCATGTACCCCCCAGATCTGTGCATGGGGCGAGGGCAGGCTGTGTGCTGTGTCAGCCTTTTCCCAGTGGGGGGGGCTGGGGCTATACTCAGGGCTGGTGGACTGGACGGCGGCAGTGCTGGGAGTGGGGCTAGGGTGAATTTTGGGGTGGCTGTTGCCTGTCCCATAACTCCCTTCCCAGCACTGCCACCTCCCGCCCCACCACCTGCCAGCCCCGAGCACAGCCCAGGCCCAGCCCCCCTGCCCACAGCAGCAGCCTGCCCTTGCCCCACACACAGCTCCAGGGGGCATATGCCCCCCATGCCTCCCCTGGGGGTGTGCACTGCTATAGGGAATGCCCCCCCTCCCATATTCCCCCGGATGACTTGTGACTCTGTCCTCCACCCCACCCCACCCCAGCTGTGCAGTGTCTGCCCCATCCCCACTGCCTCCCTCACCATGGGGGCCTCTATTTGCCCCTACGCCTCTTCTCTCTCCACCCTGCCCCTTCCCCCCAACAGACTTACCAGCCAGATGCCGCTCTCCAAGCTGCTGGCCTGCATTTCAGCAATTGGATCAATATCAGCTGATATGGCTGGTTAATAATTGGCCATTGGTATCGGCCCAAACATTTTTTATTGGTGCACCCCTAATTGAAAATCCCTCCTTATAATAATGGGGAAAATGGTTTATAGAAATTTATGGCTAACCATCAAAAATGTGTTCTGATAGCCAAGATTCTGGACAGGGAAATAATAATAAGGAGCTTTTCACAGTTGAAGTTGTTTCAACATACATTGTACGTATAGACAAATCTGAATTGAATAAAGTACATATAGCTTAAGTGAGTAAGCTGTCATTCCCACAATTTGCACTGTGGTAAGGAGGAAGATTTAAAAGTTTTCCATCTCTGGGTTATTTGTATAGAAGTATATCAATATATCAATTTGTGCTATTTTGATTTTTTTTTTTTTTTTTTTTTTTTTAAATGGGGGGTTGACCCCCGGGGTGC